TATGTATAGTATTTATTCTAGTTTCAAAACCAACAGAATATCTTAAATGTTAAAGTAGGAATTATGCAAGAACATTATTTAATACAACAAAATGTGCTTATATACACTGAGATTAGAACAACTAGCTATACAAACTGTTTATTTATCAGTATATATATACTGATATATATATTCCTAGGTTTTGGAACATCAAAAATCCCATTTACTTATGAAACTGTAAAGATATAACATACTATAGCTAAACTGAAGATGTTCAGATTCTCGAGGCAGCAGCACATGCAGAATTTCCAAAAACAAATTCTAGGTGCTACATAAATCATTTCACTAGTTCCATAGACTGACTCTGCTTAGAGCTTTGGCAATATTTTCCTTTCTTGTTTGCAAGTGAAAATGCTTTAGTAGGTTAGAACATAGTTAGTCATTCATAAATACAAACATCTGAACAATTTATATATACCATCCAAATTTTAAAAAGTTGTTAATCAATCCATCGTGCCCAAATATTATTTCAGCAATTATTTCACTCTGAGCGATGATACTTTTTAAAACTAAAGCAACATTTTAGACCCTAACTCAGATAACTTTAGGTTTACAAACAAAAAATCTGCATTTCTAACCTGGTGCTCAACAAGAGGTGATTGCAGAACAAACTCAGCAGCAACTCCCACAGTTGGATTATGAAGATGTCAGTTTCTTTCCTACAAAGGAAAAAAGGAGGAGAAGGAGAGAAAAAATAGTAAAATTAGAAACAGTAGCATATGTAACCAGAAATGTTGCACTGACGTTCTCTGAAAGGATAAAGCATCACTTCAGAATATCCAAAAATTCTTTTTTAGAAGTTTTATTTCCATGAAATTTCTGAAGGGTATGTGTGCCATGTGCAACCCATACCTCTGCAACACAGGAAGAAGGTTAAGAATAAAAGGATGTGTGTAACATTATTAAGTGCTTCAAAGAGAAGCCACTTACAATTTCGCATTCATACCACCTTAACAGTTTCACAAATCCTACCAAGTCTGTGTTAACAATTTAAAGCTAATGAATAATTTCTGGTGTTGCTAGAATGAAAGTACAGCCCCTCGTTACTATTTGAGAAGAACTGTGCTATATGGAGCTCTTGGTGTGACCAAGAAGTGAGGGAGGCCTCCACATTCACCTGATCTCCAGTTGAGGAAGGCTGCTTTACACCCAGCGTAGGAGTTCATAGCTGTGTTATCTTTCTCCCAGAGAACACTGCCCACTAATTGCATCCACTCAATCACTCACAGTGCAGTGTTTTAAAACAGATCTGTGGCTGTGATTTGATAGACATTTTTTTTGCAATGTCACTGTTACCATAAGGAGCACTTGGGAAGCTGCTGCTGCTTAACAACTTGATGCTGCTTTTCTCAGTGCTGCCAGAGCAGCCATTTGTGAAGCCCTGAAACAAACTGATAGGCTAAGAACAATGTTGGTTTTAACCCCATTCATTTCTCGATAGGATTCACGCTGCATCCCAGAAGCAGTTGTCCTACAGCAACAGAAAATGAGGTCTTGGAAGAGCCAGCTGCTCTAAAGCTAGTCCAAATTCCAGAAGAAATTTATGTCAAGCTACTCTTGAAGCTAAAATTGCCCAAGGAATGTCTCTGCCTGTCTTTTATTTTTGTATACTTGCAGCCAGCTGGGCACCCAGCAGTCCTGCACTCCCTTCTCCATCTCCTTCTGGGATATAAGAAATAGTTCACTAGCTGCTTGATTTAGTGTTAGACCATGAAGTGCAGCAATACAGCAACTGTTATCCATCTCTGCCTGGGTAGGTCTGGGGCACAGTGAGTAACAGAGATGCAGTTGTACAAAGGTAAGCACAGGAAAGAGGGTGACACAGAACAGCAGCTTGGCAAGTCTTCAGCCATCAGACACAGCTACCAAAGACAAACAAAAACCTACATTCTTGTATCTGACACCCCTCCACACACACACTTCCATTTCAAGCCATTCTAAGATAATTTTAAGTCAATATTCAGACAAAAACTCTGTGTAACAAATTGAGAAAGTGTACAGAGTAGGAAATACTAATGATATTCTCTTTTCAAAAAGGAAAAGGGAGTCATAGTACAAAAAGCCTGTCATTAATGAGCAGTGTTAATGCTACTTTATGGGCAGCTCTCTGTCACAGAACACTACTGTCAAATACAGACAATTCAGATATCAAAAAGTAGAGATACCAATTCACATTTCAAAAGCATATTTTAACTAGATATTCCACTTCAAACAATCCAATTATATCTGATTTGAGAGAAAGCTTAGCAGCACCAGAACGCAGCTTATGCTTCTGCCCTGATACCAATTGCCTGCTCTGTCCTCTCTTCTCCCCTGGTGAATGCATACAGTACAGTAATGCACAGCAGAAAAAGTTTTCCCATCTCTGCTGACAAATGCAAAAGGCTAGTGTTGATTACACACCTACCTGCATTTATTTCATATTTTATACTCATAAAATAAATATATAAATAAAAACAGAGAAAAGTAAACAGACAATTCACAGCAACTCTCATTCCCTTCCTTTCCAAGGACAGAAAAAAAAGTAGTTCAATAATCACAGAATCATTACAGCTGGAAAAGGCCTCTAAAAACATCTAGTCCAGCTGTCCACCTACCACCAATATTTCCCACTAAACTATGTTCCTGAGTACCACATCTACAAGTTTCTTGAAGATCTCTAGGGACAGTGACTCCACTGCCTCCCTGGGCAGCCTGTTCCAGTGTCTAATCATTCTCCTGGAAAAGAAATTTTTCCTAATATCCAATCTGAACCTCACCTGGTACAACTTGAGGCCTTCAGCCCTAGTCCTATCACTGTTACCTAGGAGAAGAGGCCAACCCCCACCTTGCCACAACTTCCCTTCAAGGAGTTGTAGAGAGCAAAAACCATCTCTGCTGATCCTCCTCTTTTCCAGACTGAACAATCCCAGGTCCCTCAGATGCTCCTTGTGAGACTTGTGTTCCCGACCCCTCATCATCTTTGCTGCCCTTCCAGGGCCTCAGTGTCTTTCTTGTAGTGAGGGGCCCAAAACTGAACACAGTACTTATGATGAAGCCTAACCAGAGCTGAGTACAGAGGGATGATCTCTTCCCTGCTCCTGCTGGCTGCACTATTTCTTATTCAAGCCAGGATGTCACCAGCCTTCTTGGCCACCTGGGCACACTGCTGGCTCATGTTCAGTCAAGCATCAACCAACACCTCCAGATCCACTTCTTCTACATGGTCTTCCAGCCACTCTGCCTCAAGTCTGTAGTGTTGCCTGAGGTTGTTGCGACCAAAGTACAGGACTTGGCACTTGGTCTTGTTGAGCTTCATCCCATTGGCCTCAACCCAGCTATCCAGTCTGCCCACATCCCTCTGTAGGGCCTTCTTACCTTCAAGCAGATCAACACTTTCTCCCAACTCAGTGTCATCTGCAAACTTACTGAGGGTGCACTCAATCCCCTCATCCAGATAATCAGTAAAGATACTGAACATGACTTAACATATTTCAGCACACATTCTGAAATTAACTTGAAACAGCCTTAAATTGTTGAATCTCTTTGCATGAGTTCCATACCACAGTAAATGACTTTCTATCTGGTACTAACAATCCATGTCGTGAGCCCTCAACGAAAGAGAATTCTACTGGATTTGAAATCTCTAGATGGCAAAACAGGCCACCAGAGTGCCCTAACAGCAACAAGAACATAGGGCTAGGCTCAGGTAACAAGAACTTAATCCAGTCTGAAATTGCTACATTGAGTAACTTCATGCTACACTGTGTAACTTCAATTTCTCCTCTGGTAACTGTTTCTCCACCTACCCAGGAGGACTACAAGACTCAGTTTTGTGTAAGTACTGTCAGACCTCCTGTTGAAAAGCCCTACACAGAGGACAGATTAACTACCTTATTAACAATAACTGAAAAAGTGGTTTAAGGTTTTTGTAGGAAATGTAAAACAATTCCAAGAAGCAGCTATGAAGGTAGAAACAGTTAAGGAACTGCAACTTGCAAAGAAGCACCATTTCACACAGAAAAGAACAAAAACGCAATGCAGGTAAAGTCAACAAACATGGAATGAAACTGCTTTGAACCAAAACGAGTTTCACAGGTGTGTGGTGGAAAAGAAAGAAAGCTTCCAATGTATTTTGTACAAAAATTGAAAGAAAAAAAAATATCTATTACAGACAATTCTTAGTTATTTGTTCTTTAAAGATTAACAGACCAGGGCCAGACTAAAGCAGGCAGGTTAGGTACCCTGATTCTGCTTTTGGATTCCAGAAGTACAGCAAACATGTCTAATCCTACAATACCACTGCTGAGCTACAGTTACAGAGGTAACCCAGACTGAAGCCAAACACTCTGTACTGCTGAGTACACCAACTTACAAGTTTAAAGTACATCAAGTACTTTCAAGTTAGTAGTTAAGGGAACAGTCATTAACACATTGCATCACCCTAAAATGAACTTTTTAACTTTAATTTATACATAGACAACAAGCTCCTCAAAACTGGGCAGTAGGGAGAGCAGACATACAGGCGTATATATACAGGTCACATACAGACTGACCAAGCAGTCATCATGCAGTTTCCTGCTGTTCAAAAATATCCAAACTACCTGTCCTTGCCAATTATCCCATGTGTACGCTTATTCCAGAGGACAGGGTATAAATGGAGCCTGCTTAAATTCTTTCCTTGCTTCCACAACAGAAACTCTCAGCCAGTGCTCTTCTCATCCAAGCAGAAGCTTCGTCCCACTGCACCCCATACATGTGAGGTACACCGTGGACGCACGCTGGGAGGACAAAGCATTTAAGTTTCATGCAAACCTGTAGGGCAGTTCAGATTGCCTGGTACCCTTTTGGTTATTTGTAGCTTTCAAATGCGTTTTATAAAGCTCAAAAAAAAAAAAAAAAAAAAAAAGAAACGTCTAGCTCAGTCCTTGCTGTCCTGCAGGACTCGCTTGTCGTAAGGCAAACAAATACCTCTTTAAGCGATGACCTCAGCGCGCACTCAGCTCTGTCAGTTGTTTACGAGCGGCCAGCTTCCTCACTCAAGTTCTACGAACAAGAGTGAACTCCGCCGCACGCAGGGAACATCGCTGCTCCTCGTGATGGTGCCTCAGTTCCTACGCAACCGCACACCTCCCAGCCCGGCGCGGACATTCCTTCTCCCCACCTACAGCAGCGCTTCGGCCCACGAGGTCCCTGACAGACGCCCGCCTCAGCCCCTAGAAGCTCCGCGCCGAGGCAGCGGCCGGGCACCGCCTCAGGGAAAGGGGCGGAGGGGCTCCGTCGCCCGTGCCCGCGCGGGCCGGGGCCCGGCTCGGCCCCTCCGCCGCGGCTCCTTCGGGCGCCTTCCGCCAGGGCCCGGCCGCCTTTCGTCCCGGCGCTCCGCCCGGCCGCAGCCTCGCGCGAAGAAGGCCCTCGCCGTCCCGCCCGCCGCCACGCAGAGGCCGCCCAACAGCCAAGCAAGGCCCCGGTCGCCTCTCTGAGACGAGCGGGCCGCCCCACCGCCCCTCACCTCCGTCCGGAGCTCACACCGAGCGCGCCGCCTCAGCCCGGGCCGCGGTGAATCAGCCGGATCTCATTCAAAGCCGGTCCGCCCAGGCCCCCGCGTGTGCTTCCCGGTTCAGAGGGCGCGCGGCAGGGACTTCCGGTGCCGGAGTCGGGTTTGGGGGTGGGGGGGCGGGAAGCCGTGGCAACGCGGTTTGCCTGGCAACGGCGCGCGCCGCCGGCGGGAACGCGCTAAGCGCTCGTGCGCGGGAGCTGCTGCGGCCGTTAAACCGCCTCTCCTGCGGCGCGAGGCGCGCAGGCGAGACGCGAGCGGGACTTGCGGGCCTGAGAGCGTGAGAGAAGTCCGGGAGGCCCCTCGGGTGCCACGTGTTGATCGTTATTCTGTCCACCTACAAATCCACAGCCGTCACAAAGTTACCTGGAGCTCTTGGAGCAGTGGCGTTCAGAAGGACGCTGTCCCTGAGGTGACACTGAGCGTTGAGGTGAAGCGCTCAGGAGGCTTTGCTCTGAAGTTCTGCACCTTAAGCTTGCCTCTAGCTCAGAGCCCAGCTGCGTCCAGCTGGCACCTATGTGCAGATAACCAGCAAATAGGATGGCTTTGTGTTCCAAAAATGCATCATCTAATCAAAAAGAGAATGATTATTAGTAGGAACTCCACGTGCAACCATCTCAAAAGTGATGTCATGGGGACTGAGAGGATTCAGAGGAGAGTAATAAAGTGCACATATGTATGAAAAATCACGTGCAGAAATGGAAAAGAGTGGAATGGCAACAATTTTTTCCATACAAAGAAGACAAATTTGAGATAAGATGCACACTAATGAATGATGTGGAGGAAACAAACTGGAGTTTTCAATTACCTTTATGGTACACAGGAGAAAAATAAACAACAGAAAGACCGGTAAATGAAAAGTGGAAAATACAAGGCTGAGGAATCACAAATAATTCTTCAGATAATATGTGACTGTTCTGGATCTAAGTGTCTCAGGAACTCACTCTGACTAGAACAATGCTTTTCTTAAAGTGCGTGTTTATATATAGTTGCTAAAATATTATGAATATTTATGAATAATTGAACAACTGAAGAACCTAAAAGGCAATTTCTTGTGTTTCCACAACGAATGATCAAGAACAGCATTACAGTTTGGTTCTGAAGCTCCTTTAAGGATTGAGAATGTGAAGTTAGAAGATGGTCAGCACTTCACTCTCACAGATGGTTACAAAGAAGCAAGTGCAAAGGTACTGTGTTATAAATTACACTTCAGCCAGATACAGTTACCCCTTCCATGGCACATTAACCTCTTTGGAAATCTTAGGGTTTTACACTGCGGTGTGTAAAATGAACCAAAAAGAGAAAAACTCAATTAACATCACACCTGCTATTCTACTCTTTAAAAGGATGATCTTTCTGAAAAACAATATTCCTTTAATAGTCTCTTCCATCTCTTTTCAGATCTTTGCTAGTCTGAGAGAATTGCTAGAGTTAAAATTCCCAAAATATTCTTAGAAAGATAAAGAATTGAAATGTAGTTTATACCATGAATCTGTCTATTACATACAATTAAGACAAAACCTATTAGTGCATTTTGTCATTGCAATCACAGCCAGATTATTCAGAAAAAAAAAAAAAAGGAAAAACAAAACAAAACAAAACAAAACAAAAAAAACAACAAAAGAAAGGAGTGTATATGTGTGTGTTTGCACACAAAAGAAAATATGAGCCATACTTCTGGCAGGTAGTTACATTCTTTATTATTTTACCTGGAAAATTCAAGCTGCTACAGCCTTGTCCTTAATACTTCCAGACTTTTGTGTATTAAAATGTCTTCTAAAGTCATAAAAAATATTACAAGGTCAATTTTTTTTTTTTTTTTTTAGATTACATTAATGAGATAAGTATTGAAATGCATTCTACATTTTTCTAATTTGCACTGTATTTTCATCATTTTATTCTCCCAGTGGACTGGAATTCTGTCACCTTAGTAAGAGATACTCATCACATTTTATTTTTTTACTCTGCATACATGTGTCTTTATGGAACACTGCAGTACTGGAAGAAAAAATATCTACAAAATTCTTTAGAATAAGAAGCATTCCCCTGGATTATCATATGCAGCAAGCAGAAGCAATGTAGTCAGATTTTGTACTTCACCTGCACCCACTGATTTGAACGAGTTATGTCAGTTCAAACCATCTGAAGATTTGGGCCTTCTTTGAAATATAAAGTAGAACAGACTTTCATTGTTATTCTTAATTACATTTCACATCATAGTATTGACTCTCATAAAACACACATTTATTGAAATTTTATAAATAATATACTTAGAGAAGAAGAAAAAAAGGAGAAAATAGAAGAAATATTTACATTAAAAAGTATAGTGAATTAATTGGATATATAGAGCCAGTATCATCTTCGGTACTTACAACAGATGGTATTTTATATTTTGATATAAAAAAGATATATTCTTAATCATATATGTCAAAGAAAAGAGACCATATGTTGTTAAACACTTCCAAATTGTCATTTAATCTGAAGGGCACTCTCTTGCATGATACTAAATCCCTCATTGTTTTCGTCTAACCAGTGCTAATCTACAGAATATTTGTATTTAGTATTTTGCTGTAAGGAAGTGCTGAATTAAAATGTTCTGGTTTTGTTCTTTTCATTTTTATTACTTGGATGGATGTCTTAAGTGGTAAAAGCTTATTTTGGTTGGCTCCTTACATTCTTCCAGTTTTCCTTGTACCTTTCTGTCTTTACTGTCCTAGTAAAGTGATCAACAATGATCAGACTTGCTAAGAGATCACACCATTATTTCCTAGTTTCCAGTGTATCTGGAATGTGATTTTCCCCTGGGTCTGTGATTTAGTTAAAGCAGCAGTAATCCTGCTGCTCTGTAATTAATGGGTTTAATTTTACAGAGCTGAATGACAAAATTGAAGTGTTGTCTATACAACATGAGAATATACACTGAGAGATTGGCCACAGTTTTTGTGCTAGAACAAGGGAAATCCCCAGGACTTTGTTACAATTATATATATATATATAAAGTCTGGGATTAGAATACAATGCATACTGTAGAACTGATGAGACACTAGAGTTTTGAACAAGTACACCTCTATTTGAGAACATGAAAGGGAGCACAGGGAATGCAAATATACTGCAGAGTAAGAGACCTGACTTTGACGTTGTGAGGAAATAAGTTAGAAAAAGCACACTTGTTTTTGTTTGTTTGTTTGTTTAGCTACAAACCATGTTTGGTAGTCAAACATTGAATAGATAACAATAGAAGAATTGGAGCTTTTTAAACTGCAGCATTTTACCCTAGACTGGAGCTCTGTACATAGGGATTTGGCAAATCTGTATGTGGGGAAATGATTACTTCTGTCATACTTGGCGAGCGCTCAAAATGGTTTGAAGTGCTTATTATGACCTCTGTGACATCCACAACAGCTTGTGAAATGCCTGAACAACTCTTTGATGCATGCAGACTAATAAGAGGTCTTGTCACAGACAATGAATTAAATTTTACAAGAATATAGGTTAAAGACTGTAAATAAAAGTGAGAATGCTTTTTTCAGTCATCTCAACATTCTACAATCAGCTACCAAATGCTGATAGAGATTTGAAAAAGGCTCCATTAATCATAAAGCATATGATTAATTAAAACTTGCAAAAAACCCCACTATTTTCATCATTTCAAGAATATAGGTTTGCCCATTAAATTATGACAAGTATCAACCCAGCATAATTTTGAGTGAGATGAGTGGTAGCAATGTATTTGGATAGAATCCGTAATGGTTTAGAAGAATATTAAAAATGCAAGCAAGGACATAGTACTTCTGTATGCAATATAACTCCCCCAAAATATCAGGGCCAAAAGATACTGTTTATATTGAAAGTTTCTGTATTCAGGAGTCAATACAAATCTCATATACTGTTCTACAGGAAACTGGACTTTTGTCTTTTTATGTCTATTTAAAGTGGCTGAGTTGTGAGAACTATCTACAAACCATCTGGAGAAGATAAGGCCAAGAAAAAATCAGTCTTGCTGGAAATGCTTGTGTTGGGGGTGTCTATGGAAAATTTTTATGAGACAACAGAGGAGTGGGTTTGTGTCCCTGGCAATTGCAAAGGTGCTACTCTGTGAGAGACAGATTATTTAAATAACCACGTAGAAGACTGTAAATTGAAGACTGCAAACTGAGAGAAAGGTGGTGTGTAAAGTGGACATACTGTGGTTTTTTTCTGGATTACTGTGGGATGGAGGAATGTTCAACTTTTTTTCTAATTTTTTTTTCTTTTTATTCAGTGGGAGTTTTCCCCCTTATTTGTGACACAATAAAAATAAATTTTACACTTCCTTTGGCACTTAAGATGTTCTTGTAGTTGAACTGAAACACTCCTTTACAAAATGCTATGTAGCTGGTACAATGCTTTGTGTCAGAGTCAGAAAGCAAGAGCTAAGAAATTGACTATTTCAGTCATTTCTGCGGCTCTGTCTGCATTAGGACGTAGTACAGAACAGTAGGAATTACTTGGTAGGTCTAAACAGGCAACACAATATTTTTGTCAGCCTTTTTTTTTTTTTTTTTTTTTTTTTCCTTTGGATAGCTCTAGTTTCAACCCGTGAATTGAATGAGCATTTGCAACTGAAGTGTTTTAGGCGTGTTCCTGGTCTGCAGTTTTTCATGTGAATGAATCCAGTTTCAATGTTCCTAAGAGAGATTAGTACAGCAAATCAAAACATCCAAGCAGAGACAATCGAGGCTTTAAAGGCATGCTCCTGATCCAAACTTAAACATGCATCATGTAGATGCTCAATCTATGCCTTTATTTTTCCTTCCAAAAAGTATCCCACAGTATGAAAAGAAAACATGTCAGAAAGCTGGAGAAGAGTGAAATAAGATTGAAGAAGGTGAGGTCCTCTACATTACTACACATGGCATGCCCAAAGCACTGGGTATATACAATATGTTCTATGGAGAGCCTGAGGGACCTGTAAACTGTGAGATAAGCCCCATTCAGTGAATATTTTGATCCTTGCAAGAATGTCGCTTGGGAAAGGCACATTTTTTACAAGAAACCAGCTGCCAGATGAGACCATTGACCATTGTTAAGATCTTTAAAATAAAGCCAAGTAATGTGAATTGGAGCAGTTAACAGATGGATGAATTACTTGTGATATAAGTGATAACCAAGTCAAAGCAAGGTGAGAAAAGGACTTGACATTGCAAAGAACAGCGGATATTTGCAGGGCTAGTAAAGACTGCTTCCCAAATAAAAGTGTTAGCTAGTGGTGAAGGAACTGGAGTCTATCTAATTAAAAATGCATACCAAAGCATAAAGAGAAAATACTAGGGTAAACAAATGGCAGAGACCAGACTTGTTTTCAATAAATGTAAAATCAATCACAACATGGTGAAAAGGTCCCGCACAAGAGGTTCAGTGTCCTGTATACAATGAAAGCAGCCATTTTGCAGAAAATAGATTGCTCTCAATTCAACTTGTAAAGATAGGCTAAAGAAAAGTGATCTGTGTTCATATTACTGGAAAACATAACAATGGTGACAACACTGAAAGTCATTATAATGATATTTTTAAAGGGATGATCAGGATGTTATTATTATAAAAAATAAAAATAAAAAATAAAAGATGTTTCTGCTGGGCCAGAACCTTTTCATTTGAAACTGTATCACAAGCAGAGATGCCATTTGTGGATTTTGGAAATTCTCTGATGACACAAAAGTAATAAAGAATTGTTACATACTCATTGCTCCACAAATGAGTTATATCTGTGGACGCTGCATTAATAATGATGTGGCAGAGAACGAGGTAGCTGTAGAGTCTTTGTGCCTATTCAGAATAAGTTTCTGTCCATTCTTTTTTATTTACACTATTAGGCAATAAATGAACATGTGCTTTCTATTCTAATAGGAACAGGATAACATTAATGTATCTAACATATAAACTAAGTTTGTGAATTCCCAGTAGTCCTCATCATCAGATTATTTTGATCTTTTCTCAGTAGAGTTGTTTTGGTCCTTGGAGTACACCGAGATACACCCAATGGCATTTTTTCCCATCATTGCCCTGCCTGTTTCTTCCTTGTCCTCCTTGATAGAAGGCTCTGCTATGCTTTTATGACTTAATGGGTCCACTTCGTTGTGGTTGCAAATTTTTCTGAGATAATGCAAATTATTAATAGCTATCTGGCAGAAGAATATATTTCTCCTACTCATTTCATTTAGAAAATAGTTACTTTATTGATCAAACATATACATCACACCTCAGACACTTCACCTTTTTGTAATATGAGTCACTGGTAGAAGGAAAAGAGAAATAGCAGAATTGCTTCTTGACTACACACAATTTGTACAGTTGTCATCATGTCTTGTTCTATGTGTTGACCACAATAATGGAAGTCTACAGAAAGGGTTCTCTCATTCTTTCTCATCATATCTGAATTGGTAAAAATAATATTTTTCATGTTTTACTTCTGCCAAGTAGGCAGGTAATTTGGATAGACAGAGTATTTGCATCTAGCAATAAACTACTCAGGTAAGGCAAGATGTTTATTTTAGTTACATTGGCTGTCTGCCATAAATAAAAACAGTAGCAATTTATCTAATCTCACTAGCTATGTTGATTCAGTTGATTAAAGGCTTTAAATTAACTTTAATTATAAGTTGTAACAGTTGGCATTTGGAGACCTACATGTTTGAGACCATGTGGTGGAAATTTTATTCTCCATTGTAGAAACAAACCAAGGAAAGTCTCTTACTAATGCCTAGATTTCTTATTTCATCCTTTTTTTTTTTTTTTTTTTTTAATTCATTTGCCTCCAGATTTTTTTTTCCTGCATTTAGAGTAAGGTTGAGTGTTCTTTTTTTTTTAGCTCAGATTACTAAAACAATTTTTAATATCTTATTTTAGGTCCCGAGTGCATTCCAGGCACCAAGTGAACCTAAGCTTTTCCTCTGCAAAGGTAGGATGTGAAAATTTTCATCCTTCTCTGATTTTTATTGGTATGGTAAACAAACTTGAAGATCTTTTTATTCCCTGCAAAGAAGGTATATGCTAATATTGCACTTGTACATAGTACTTTTGTGAAGAGATTTCCGTGTTTGTCTTTTGGGTTCCTAAGGGCTGATGACAGAAGTCTCAGTAACAGACATCTTAGGCATTATTTATCTGTTCTTTGAATTGTTTATGTTAAAAGAAAGTTAATTTAAATTACATTTTAGTTTATATTTACATTAGTTACGTTTTATTTCAGATTTCTTTGTTCTGATAAAAAGAGTGAACACGACTTCTTTGTTTATCCTTATTATTGAAGTGCTAAGCATGACAGCACTGCCTCAATGTTGTTTAACTGGTAAAAATGAGACTAAATCCAGATAGGTAAAATATCAGAGATAAGCAGAATGTTCAAGGTGAAAGTAAATACAAAAGCTTTGCTGTAATTAAATAAAGATATGGAAACTGGATAATTAAAAATGAATATTTTTAAAGTTTTTAAAAATTATTGTATTGCTGGCATCTGACTTATGTGGTTGTAAAAATGGAATGCAATACAAAACACGATGTAAGCTGTAATGAGGACAGTTCACATACTTGTATGTTATATATTTTTGAGCTTTTGAAGGATAATGTATTTGAATTAACATGGTATGAAAACATCTTGTGTTGAGACTACAGACTTGTCTTGTTGCATTGGTTAATTCACCATACCTGGCTTCATAGACTAGAGAATGTCATGATTAGCTATTAATGACTTGTTTTGGAAGTCCAAGAAGAGTCCTCAGTATCTACTGCCTGATTTTTTTTAAATTCCCTTTGTTTTTATATTCAGTGAAACCTTAAAATTTGTTTTTGGTTCTTGTTTTAATTCAGCAAAGATTATATAGATAATATATATATAGAAAAGAAATGAAGATTATATCAGTTTCAGGCAGTACTTTTAATCTCTTTTAACTAGTGGAGTTTCGAAAAAAATCCAATGTCCAATGGACTTGTTTAGGTATGTCATATATGTTGATTGACTTACTGATATTGATGTTAAGAACTCGCTGCTCTTTATTGCCATTTACAGATGGCTTTAGAAATCCTGTGCAAGGACTAAGAATTAGTCCATGTATTTTGCAGATCACAACTGTAACATTGGTGCTTTTAAAGTTTTTTGGAGTCTTTGAGTAGTTCTCCTGTATAGATCATAATGTTAAAATGCTTTAATACCTGAGATATATTATGGCAATCCGTATAGCGTGTGTGCAACATGAAATTTTGGTGAGATAAATGCAGTTGTTAGTCTAAAAAATCTCTTCCTTAAAGTAATTATGCTCCCAGAAAACTGCTTTATGGCATTAGAGCCATATAATAGTATTTCTGTGTCTTTTAGGAGCTTTGGAATTTCTTCTAGTGTTTGTCTACTTAAAATTCCCACTGCTTTAGCTTTTCTTTAGTACCCCTTTCAGCATTTGTCCAGTGAACTAATATAGTTATTTGCTCCATTCGTTTCAGTTTTATACTCAGTAATGGGAGGATGTTTCCTTTCTCCACAAAACCTGAATTTAGAAATTAATTAAATGATGGATTTCCAGGCCACTTGAAAAAATAAACTCAAGCAAGAGCAATGATCTCATCTAGCACAAAATTATCCTTTGTGATCAATGCTCTTCACTCAGTGTTTCAGCAACTGCAAATAGCCTTTAAATAATCATGAATCCATTGTTGCATATATATATATGTCTTACAAGCCCAGATGCTTCAGGCTTCTATTGACCGGCTGCAAATAACATCACTTTTAATTAGAAATGCACTGATATAAATCTGCCTGCTCATCCTTAGCTTCATCTTTCAGGTAACTGGAGCTGCTAATTACTTTAAAAAATGCAGGTCAAATGCTCAGTATCTGAATTCATTAACTCAGTAGAATATGGTTATCTCTGTGAAAAACAGGATAACTTTATAAATGTTTTTAGAGGTCAAATTTTGTGCCCTACATTACCTGTTGACTTTATTTGTTCCTAGCAATAGATCTAAGATCTTGTAGTAGAAATAAACAAACATTCTTTAAACGAATGGTTGTTAATCTAGCTCCATTCTTTTTTAATGGAAGACAGAACAGTGTAACATAAGCAGTGACATTAGGAATCTTCATCCCACCGAAGAAATATCAAAGCCATCTCATTCAGATTTTCTCCATACGTTGTTTTGGTTTTGTTTCTCAAGCGAGTAAGAGAAAATGATTCTCAGTTCCAATCATCACATGTGACTACCAAATAGTCTTTTAAAATAATCAATTCTGAATGTACAGCCCTGGTCTTCTAAACCACATCTTCTGACCCTCTGCAGGGAACACATTTTTAAGGAAATGTGTTCTAGTTTCAATTTTTGGGAAAACTATTTGAAGCTATCATAAATTTGCATCTGGCTGACAGTATGCCAGTTGTCCAATCCAGTTCCTTACATTCCTGTAAAAAATATTTTTATATACACAAACACTTAAGTAACCATGAATTTTATAAATGCAAACCTTCCTCACTGTCTTGAAAGATAAGAATAGACTGCTGTGTGAAAATAATCACGCTTCTCATTATCTGAAAGTACTCTTAATATTGCAGTTAGTTTTAAATGTTGGTGTTAGATTTATAGTTGGTGAACTATTTACAATATTAGTATGGTTTAGGCCTTTTAATTTGTATAGTACTTCTTTCAGCTCCTCCTGCACTCTTCCAGTACTTCCTTTCATTTCCCAAACATATGATAAATTTTATTCATTTCTCACCAGTAAAATTCTAGCTGGTCTTGTTATGTCCTTCGTAATTTAAAATTGGCTTCAGATAGATTTGATAGATGTGGATCATATTCATGTAACAAATGACTTAGAATAAGATAATTTTATTTTAATGCAATATTGTGGTATAGGTAAGTTTTGTTTCTTGTTGATTCTTGAATTATATCTCACTATATAAATTGGAAAAAATAATAATACCAAGTATTCCTTATCACAGAGAAAGGAGCTATCTCACATATTTTAAATGAAGTGATATTTTTAAGGAGGAAGAATCTCCTCTGCCTAAATTTGGGCATACAGTTTCTATTGCCTTTTGAGGTCTTTGTCATTTTGCCAGTTAAATAAGTGGGATGGGCATTATTTTTTCTTTCTTTCTTTCTTTCTTTTTTTTTTTTTTGTAAGAGAAGCAAAGAATCCTAATTGCCATTTCATAAAGCTTACTAAGGAATGCTGGCTTTATTTAATTTCACAGTGACTGATATCCGTAGGAGGCGAAGGCACGTAATATTATGTAGTGTTGCACACATTTGTTTCGTGCTTGCATGGAGTATATATTTATATTTCTTTAGAAAAAGATAAGCCTTCAAACATAGGAAAATACTGTGTATGTTTCGACATTCTCTCGTGAGAGTTACAAATACTCCATATGACTCAAGACATCCGTTCATAAAACCTTCTTAAATGTCCAAGGGATAAGACCAATATTTGGTCTTATTTGTTATATTTGATCTCTTTTGGCCTTTAAAGCTCAGAAATTCCAGAGTGGCGTTATCAGCTCGGCTGACAGTCCTCTTATTTTGAACCAGAAGTGCTGCTATGTACCAGAACAGCACACAACAGAGGTCCTGACCACAAACAGTCATCAAAATTTGACAGTGTTCTGTGTATTAGCTGGATGCTAAATTCTCCCTTAGTTAATTCTTCATCTAATTTGTGATACTGCATTCAATAGGTATCCTATTACTATTATCAACTGATAGCAAGGTCTTTTTGCATACAATGTTTTCCTTTTTGGACATTGAATCATTACAAGTAATGGCTACTGAACAGCTGTATATCAGATAGATGAAACACGTAGTGTGCCATGTAAAAAAAAGTGATTAACTTTATAGCTGATTCTGATGAAAAAAGATTAGATTACAGGTACGTTATTGTTTATTACCATATGTATTAAGTATCTATGAAAGCTGCAAGCATTTATTCTGCAAATGGTGGTGGAAAATAAGGCCATGCATATTCCTACAACAAAGCTGTTCATTGTATAATTTAGTTTTCAGCTGAGTCTGAACTTACTGCAGGTGAAAATAAGATGATCCAGATCTGTCAGCACTGATATACATGTAGGTGGTTCCATTATTATAATTTGTGAAATGCTCACAAGCTGTCTTTGTGAGGGTGCTTATATGGAGTAATGTATTAAAAAGAAGCAAGATGTTCTACCTTATGATGGCATTGCAGTTGTGCAGTTTGTGTAAAGCAATCAAATGTTTCTAACATACACAGAAAATTTTTTGAGCTGAAAAAATGAGTGTTATTGTTTTGTGATTTTGTATGTAAGGTAATATCACAAAATTGAAGAAGGAATTTCCTCCTTTTTATGTGATAGATATGCTGATAGCATATGGGACTGATAAGTATTTATAAACCAGATGCTCTTTTCATGAGCACTGAGTTAGTTTAAGAATAATACCAATTTTCTTACATGGAACATTAATATAGCAGGTCTGTCCCTCTTTCTTGAAAGTAGAGTTGTTGTGCTAGTACCAGTGGGTCTTCTGGACTTTTTTCCACTCTTTCGAGAAGTCTGCTCTGCTTTTTCCAGTCTTTTCTTAAACTGTACTTTTAGCTGTTATTTAAATCAAATATTCAGGGATGAGTATGAACAGTAAGCTCAGTTGGTGCTAGAAAGTGTCTGCAACTCTGATTAAATGAATGATCAAACAAAATACAATTCCTACTTCAAATATCTACTTTTAATAAGTTTATTTAAAATTTTAAAATGTTTTAAATATGACATGATAAAACACCAAATATAATCTAGTACCTCATAAGTAGAATTTCAGTTTTTCCCTTAATCTTCGCCTCAACCTCAGAGTTAAGAAATGTAGTAAAACAATGTTTGCATGAAGAGGTCATTCATTTTATCAAGACTGACAGATATACTCAGAAAATAAAGGATGAGGTTTTGGACTCATGGTCTTTTCATCAAGTCATTCTTTTTCATTTACTTCATTCTTCATTACGTGAAATTGAGGGCAAAGTATGTACTACCTGTCCCTCAAAACAAAATGCCTGTACTGAAGTGTAGTTGATGATCTGGAAAATAAGCGTTGAGAAACAGCTTCAAATTCTATTGCCCTTTTTTTACCTACCTTAAATATGAATTGTGGAACCATCAAAGTTTCAAACAAATAGCAGTTCTGCTTTTCTTTTTAGTTCTGGCCAGTGTGCCATTTTTGAAATATTCTAACAAAGAAACCACAAACCGCTAGTCACACCACAATACCAGCTTGTGTTTACATTTTCAGCTCTCCAGATCATGATCCTATTGAGTGTGCATAGAGCGAGTGCGTGTACACGCGCCCATCCACCATCAGGAGAAATGAAACTGTAAACACAAGCTGGTATTTTGGTGGGGGCACACTAATATGGCGGTTGGTAGGGTCAGAAGGTGGAGGGTGAATTATGGATCCAGAATTTCCTTGTATTTTTCTTTTTAAGTGAGGCTGATTGTACAGTAATGCTATTCAGACCTAAATGTTCAGTTTTAGAGCAGTAGAACCCAGTCTCATTGATTTTAAGCTGCGTATTCAGACTTGAACAAAGATGAATGAAAGCACTACTTCTTGACATAAACTAGGCAATGAAATACAAACTATTTTACAGGGAGTTCTTATATGAGAGGACAGTGGGCAAGAATGATCTCACAGTCTTTATCATTTATGGTAAATCACCTTGTTTAGTACTAGGTAAACACTAACAAAATCACTAATAATATTAACATGGTGAGAAAAAAATGACTGTCTTTAACCTTGAAGAATCT